ACTACAGCCCACTTCTTCGGATGCATCCGAAGAAGTGGGCTGTAGTCCACGAAAGCTTATGCTCTAATAAATTTGTTAGTCTCTAAGGTGCCACAAGTACTCCTGTTCTTTTTGCGGATACAGACTAACACGGCTGCTACTCTGAAACCTATGTAGCCTTTGACAACTCATGAAATCGCTGTTTCCTCATCTGTGCAATGAGGATATGTTCTGTAGGATTAAGTGTATTTGACGGTTGTTTGCTAAAACAGTGCTTCATCTGTTCTAAATACTTGTCATTTATATAGATATGTATTTCTTCAACACTCACCGCTGTGGCCATAGCCGTGTTATAATAAATTAGAAACAAATAATTCACTCATATGGATCACTTCAGTAAAATCACTACCTCTTATTTGTCACACATGAGACCTGTATCTGTTTTGAGGTATGTCAATTAAAAGCTTGATTAAACAGGTGAGGCGTATACCATGGCCCAAAATTTGTCAGGTTGTATGTTAGGGTGGGTGATAACTGGAGTTGGTTGTTATATTTAGGCAGAAAACAAGAATTTTCTCCCTGTGGAATCAGGGTTGAGTCCTATGAAAACTCTATTTTTGAAGGAAAAAATGTCTGTTTAAAAATAAATAAATTAAATTAAAAAAAAGATGCCATTGACCATGTACTTGGAAAAATCTAGGAAAGGCTGTCTCTGACTCAGTGCAGTTAATCCCTACCAGTCTTGTCAACTCTTGTTGATCTAAGGTTCTGATAAATATCATAAATTTCAAATCGGAGAAATTTGACAGAAGCCATTACTGCTGTTTTCAAATTACAGTGGTTTCCAGCTAATTTTCTGGTAGCCAAAGTTCTTAATTCTGGAAAATACTCATTTCTTTTCTTCAATATTGCAGATGACCATGGATGAGAAATATGTAAACAGCATTTGGGATCTCCTGAAAAATGCGATCCAAGAGATCCAGCGTAAGAACAACAGTGGTCTCAGCTTTGAGGAACTGTATAGGAATGCATATACTATGGTGTTACATAAACATGGAGAAAAATTATACACTGGACTACGAGAAGTCGTCACTGAGCATCTCATAAACAAGGTATCTGACTAAACTAAATTTTAAATCAGTGTCTTTCTTACTGATATCTAAGATGAATGCTGTATAATTGTGGTTTGTGACAAAAATCTAAATTTTGATACATTAGTTTTAAAACAATGTTTTTACTCATACATAATATCAGTTTAGGACTAATGTCATGCATAAGATGATCTTGTGTTAGCGGTACCATTTATGTTAAATTACTAATGAATAATGGAATGTACCAATTTAAATGTTTATGAATATGTGAATTAAGAAACCATTTTTAGTTGAATCATTATTGCATGAACAATGAAAATAGGTATGTCTGCTAACCTGTTCTTATTTTTTTTTTTTTTAAGTTCGTGGCTTTTTGATAGAATTGAGTGGCTTTCTTTGGTGAACTCTGTTTCACTTACTAGTAGTAATAACCCCTTTTTTCAATCTGGGAACTAACTACATCCCAGAATAAGAACTTGCTTGTAATGGGCTTTGTTCATGAACTAATGAAATAGTTGTGCTGGGATTACATTATATATGGAGAGTAGAGAGGCATTGGTCAATGCATAAAATCAATTTGACAAAAAACATCCTGAACAGTCTGCGTCTTTAAATTTCAGTCTTTTCAAAACATACATTTAATTTAGTCCAAAATTTTAAATTAACAATCCATTTGATTCTGAAGATAAAAGATATAAAGACCTTCCATCTCGCCTCAAGCCAGAGATTGGACCTCTATGGCTTTGTGTTGAAGAAAAGCAGTCACGTTTAGATCTGGCGTAGCTAGCTCACGTTAGCTAAACCCAAACAGGTGAGGCGTATACCATGGCCCAAAATTATACCATGGCTTGACCTTTTTCTGAGTTGAAACAAGGCTGAAAACTTACTGCTCTAAAGAGATCCAGCACTTGTGGCAGAATCAAAGATGCAGCCTGGAGAACAGCTGCTTTTCCACTGTGCCCATTGTATATACTGACCCAGGCACTTGGGTAGAATCACAGCCTATCATGCCCTTACTGCACAGTTTAGTGAGTTGCAGTAATCAGTGGACTGCTTCCCATTTTTGGTGGTTCTTTCATGTGAAGACATTTTAAAGACTTTGCTCCAGACCACTTCAATCTAAAATATGCTTTAAATATATATTTTCTTACACTGTGTGAATGCAAGGACAGGTTGAGTATAAAGTGACCAAAGGATTTTGCACATATATGTCCTTTTATTGTAATATATTAATGCCTCAGAGATATTAATGAATTTGTCAAGACTAGTAATGTAACATGGTAAATGTCTGAGACTTTTAGTACTCTATGCCTGTAAACACCTCTGCATTATCATGGGCTTAGTGGTGTTTACAGCCTACGCTAGGTAACACACAGTAGCGCAGTAATCTTTCACCTGGTTAGACATGAGGTCAAAATGAGTTTCTTGTGGTGGTCTGATCTCTCCTGCTCATTTATTTATTTATTTATTTATTTATGTGTGTGTTTAAATAAAAAAAAAAGAAGCCTACACATGTAGGAAAGCCCAGTTGTGATAATTTCCAGTGACTCTAAATAACAAAAGTTGAGTAAAACTGAGGTATTGTAGTGCAGCTGTGAATGGGATGCTTATACAGTTTTTACCTGGAAATGTTTTTTTTCATGCAATTAGAGTTTTTTATCTGATGCTTATGAGAGCTTAACTAATACAAACTCAGCAATGTCTGGTAAATTCATATTTCAAATGAGTAATGAAAGGGCCTCTGTGTATGTGCACGTGCTTGTGCTCACAGAAAAGTATAAGTGTGATTCAGACATCAACATTTGAGTCAGTATTTACAATTGAAATAACTTATTAATGAAAAGAAAGCTAATTGCTGAATTTTAATCTTTAAATTAGTTGGTTTTAAAATGCCTAAATACAGAAAATGTCCATATTATATACAAACTAGTTTCCCCAAACATGTAATCATTCACATGGAAAGGTGACTTCCCGGTAAAAGTGCTGAAAAATAAAACTTGAATGAAGAGGTCTTCTTGGTTGATTTTTTGTTTATTTTTTTAAAAAAGTCTTCAATTTCAAAACCAATTCCTGTCTTCTTTTATCTCTGAGTTCCAGCTTCAGGATGTGACATTAAAGTGTGGTTTATGTCCAGAATATTGGTTGTATAAAATGGTGCTATTCTAATAACAGAAATAAAAAATAGCATTTCAGGAGCGTATATACAGGTGGTAGAAGTTGGTTCAACTCTGAAATTAGACATCTCTTCAGTTTTCTTGTAGTACTTGTTGCAAGGCAGATGAAACAACTAATTACAGTTCAATCTATTTAATTGAGCATTTTACTAAACTGAAAGTTTAGTGGAAAAATCATTACATCTTTGATAGCTCTTTCCAACACTACTTCTTATGTCAGTATTTGAAACATTAAGTATCTAAGTAAATCACTGGAATGCATTCTAGTCACAGGTGTTCACTTATCTATACCTTCAAAGAACAAATGGTGGATACTAGGGCTGGTTGGGAAAATCTGACAAAACATTTTTTGCTAATTTGTCAAAATCAAAACATTTAGTGGAGACAGCTTGATTTGATGAAGTTCAAATAGAAAGAATACAGGCAGGTTTAGAGGTCTGCCTGGTTTCCTGTCAGCTCACCTGCCAGATTGCATTGGATAGGGGGACTGCAGGGTCTGTGGTTCCAAGGCAGCCCACTGGGTAGACAGCCCTGGAGCTGGGGCTCCATTCTTTGTGGATACCCTTGTGAGAACAGGTTAATGTTCTTGTAGCTAAGTATACCAGATATGGTGCTTGTGCTGTGCATGTAATACAGAGGTTTATCTGTGGTTAATAGACGCCAGAGATTAGCAAACTGCTACTCATCTATTTGAAAGCATTTTTCATGGTTAGTGGTGTTCAAGTTTGGAACACAAATATATTTTTCTTTTGTAGTTTGGAACTTTTGCTCTGCTATCTTTAATTGCTTGTTGAAAGTCGTGTTCAGCCAGACTTGACTTAGGAAGAGACCAGACCAGGGGTTGGCAAACTTTTTGGCCCAAGGGTCACATCTGGGTATAGAAATTGTATGGCAGGCCATGAATGCTCATGAAATTGGGGGTTGGGGTGCAGGCTCCAGCTCGGGGTGTGGGCTCGGGTAGGGCCAGAAATGAGGAGTTCAGGGTGTGGGAGAGGGGCTCTGGTCTGGGGCAGGGGATTGGGATGAGGAGAGGGTGAGGGCTCCGGCTGGGGTTGCAGGCTCTGAGTGGGGCTAGGGATGAAGGGGTGGGGTGCAGGCAGGTGCTCTAGGCTGGGACTGAGGGTTTGGAAGGTGGGAGGGGGATCAGGGCTGGGGCGTGGTGTGTGAGGGGAACATACGGACTCAGGGATGCAGATGCCAGGCGGCATTTACCGGAAGCAGTGGCACTCCCCCTCCCCCCCGCCCCCCGGCTCCTATGCAGGGGCGTGGCGCTGGGCAGCTCTGCATGCTGCTCCGTTGGCAGGCGCCGCCCTGACAGCTCCCGTTGGCCACAGTTCCCAGCCAATGGGAGCTGTGGGGGGTGGTGCTTGGGGTGGGGGCAGCGTGCAGAGCCCTGGCTGCCCCTACACACAGGAGCTGAAGGGGGGACATGCTGCTACTTCCAGGAGCTGCATGGAAAGCCCCCCACCCTGCTCCCCAGCTGGAGCCCGAAGCGGGGCAAGCCCTCGATCCCGCTCCCTGGCAGGAGCTCGAGGGCCGGATTAAAAAGTCCAACAGGCTGGACGTGGTCATAGTGGTTCTTTTTTTTTTAAAGTTTACATACCTTTTTCCTCAAAAGGTCTAGTCCAGGGGTGGGCAAACTATCTGATACATTTTTTGCAGTATATTTAGTTGTAATTAAAATCATTAATGTTTGCACCTGCCAAGTGCCAACCCCACTTCTGAGCTCTAGCACTAACATTAAAATGTAACAAGTATAAAATTTAAGAAGGATAAAATTAAACACAAAAACTGTGTATTAACTTTAGCTAGATAAAAGTATTAAACCACCCTCACAGTGGTTCATGTCTGAATTGTTGTAGGTAGTGGGACACCTGACTTTTAAATTGCAGTTTCTTGTGTGTGTTGTGTAGTTAATGAGCTTAAAAATAGTTTTTTGTAGTTACTTTAGTTTATAGTTACACCTTCAGGTGCCAACCAAGATTGAGGCCTCTTTGAGCTAGGTTTTGCATAAACAGAAAGCAAGAAATCATTTCTGCCCCCAAAAGTTTATATTCTAAATAGATAAGACAGGTAAAGAATCGGAAGGGAAATGGAACAAGTGACGTTCCTTGTCCAAGATGACATGGCAGTTCAATGGTAGAGATGAGAATAGAAACCAGGTGTCCTAACTCCTAGTCCAGCGCCATATCTACTGAACCATGGTGCATTTAAGTAGTAAGATATCACACTGTCTATCAAATCTAAATTGATTGATAGATAACTTTGTTCTTCAAGTGATTGCACATGTGTATTCGCTCCACATACAGTTGCTGGAATTTTTTTCCTCAGTGGTAACTATCTGGGTGGCTTGAGTGCCTCTGCTGCAGCATGCCACTGAATCTAGTAGTATAAATGGCCAGTTGACCCTGAGCCCACTCAGTTCCTTCTTATTGACTGTGATGGTCCCTTGAACTGCTCTTCTTGCTCTTCATAGAATCATAGGACATGAAGGGACCTTGAGAGGTCATCTAATCCAGTCCCCTGCACTCATGGTAGGACTAAGTATTATCTAGACCAGGGGTCTCAAACTCCTGGCCCGTGAGCCTCTCCAATGTGGCCCGCACAGCTCCAGCATGCTGTCCCCACCCCGAGCGCCTCTGTGGCCAATGGGATGCTGTGGAGGCAGTGCCTGGGGGTAGCAGTGTGCAGAGGCCCCCTGGCCCGCCTCGCCCTGCCTTGGAGCGCCAGGTAAGCGCCGCACCCCTGACTCCCTCCCAGAGCCTATGCCCCCCATCCCCTCCCCACATACTCCGTCCCAGAGCCTGCACCCCTCCCCACACCCCCCAGCTCCCCAAACTCCATCCC